CAGGTCATATTCCAGGTAATAATGGTCAAGTGCTTTTGTAAATAAAGTAAAATCATTATTGTTTTTGCATAGGAGAAAGGTACAAGTATGGCATGACTTTTGGAACAAGTACACGGCGAGCGGTATCTGAAGTGGCTTAGTTTTAAAAAGTAGAAACAAACACACGATAGAAAAACATTAGATACATGTACATGCAATACTAATAATTTATTATTAATTAATTTTCATTGTTATGTTTCTTGTTGCATAATTATTTTTGGTGGTAAATCTGGAAAATTTGGAGATCCATACAGTATCTTATGAACTTCATTTGTACACTGCAGAGTGAAAATAGTAGACGCAAATACATTGTGTGATTGGACATTAACACTAACTTTTTTTTTCGTATACAAAAGTAGGGCATGAAAATCTGTTTCTTCCATACAATGCTGTAGAGATGAGGTGTCAGTGAATTTCAGTAGATTTGATAATGTCTTGTCTATTTTTGTCCATCCACTTACATGTACATGTAGATCTATTGACAATAATAGCAACTGCAATAATCAACAGAATCTGATATGGTGCTCACTTTTCTGAGCAGGAAGCAGGCTATGAGAATTAATAGCGTCAGGCTTGCATGTAGGTTCACTAAAAGATTTAGCAAGAACTGTAATGCCTTCTAAAAGTTCACTGATGTAAGTACTAGACTTGCTCATTGTTACAGTATTTTCTTTTGGCAAACTGCTTTCTCTTGAGCTGTATGACAGTAAATCTTTTAGCTGTTGTGCATGATTACTTAGCACTAAATCTTGTACAGAACACCCAGGAAATATCTGAGAAACAAGTGGCAAACATTCTGTGTCATCAGGATGCAACAAAAGTGATAAAATAATATCATCTTGTGCTTCAGACACTTTCTAGATTTAAAAGAAATTGGCACTAAAATCTTTTAGATATAACTAACATTTCTTTCGTTTCGTATTCTAGCTCTGCATGTATAGAATCTTGCTGTATGAGGACTGTGGAACAGTGCCATTGTAAAATGATCTTCTGCCAATGACAGCACCTTCTGAGCAAAATCCATCATACCAAGTGTATAGTGAACTACAGCCAGACGATAGTGAAGGCCGCTACTGACACTCAATGACAACTCATATGCAACTTGATAGTCAGCCAATGCAAACCCGTACTGACTTTGCTTATAAAAACAATCTAAAATGGAAGTCATATACATGCATGTAAACATAAATTATGACGTTTGCTTTTACCTCCTCTGTTAATGTATAAACCTGGTTCACTTTTGTCTTCTTTTATGGCCTTGTTTAATAAGGTTAGAGCTTCATTAAAAAAGCCATTTCTGCCAATGATTCTTGTAACAATGGTAATTAAAATTTGTTTACTTACTTAAAACAATTCACAGCAAATTCGTTATAAGTTAATACTAGTTGTTTCGAAGCTTGTTGATATATTGGATCTTCATAGTTATGAGCAATTTTATTCATTGCAGTTAAAAAATCATCAATGGCTTCATTGTAGGAATGTAGTTTACGCTGCAAAGCACCTCTGTATAATGTAAATCAAAGAGCATCACTCATACAGGTACATGTACGGTACATACAGAATAGATATGTTCATGTATTAACCTTAAAATATGATGTTTAGCATTGTGAGGATCTGAATCAATAGCAGCATCTATTTTAAACAATGCTTCTTTTCTTCTGTCCATTAGGCAAAAGTGCAATGCCTGCAAGAATGAAATTACAAGATCAAAGAAATTATAATTAAAAAGTCACTTGTTTGTGTGCATTGTTTGTTCTTTTTTCAAGCTCATTTCTTAATTCAATTGCTTCTTTAGAAGATGAATCAAATTGCAATGCAGCTTGAACATCACAATAACATTTTGTAGCCTAAAAAACCAGAATTAATTAGAATTAATAAATCATCAATCAAAGGATGTACATGTACATGTATACTGTACATTCCCGAAGAGAAGATGAAGCTTTGCTCTCATTAGCAATAAGTCGACTTTGTTTGGTACATCATCTGATATTTTAGTTTTTAAAAGTGTCATTGCTGGTTGGTAATCCTTCAAATGAATGTAGCAAGATATACTAACAATTATGAAACAGGGTTGTCTTACACATACATAAATGAATCATGTTACCATTTGATAAGATAGTGAGGTAAAACATTGTAAACTACATTATAATGGTCCAATGCCTTTTCATACAACCCTTGATCATACAAAGTGTCAGCATAGCAGCCATGAGTAACAGCTAACATTTCCTGTATCATTATGACATGCATTATAGGAAATAATTATAATGATAGCAACAAACTTGTAATAAGTGATCAGATGGAGCAAGACGTAATGCCTTTGTTATATTCTGAATAGCTAATATGTAATCCTTACTCTGAAACAGTGCTTTAGCTCTTAACTGATAAAGATATGGATCTCGAGGATTAAGGACAAGAGCACGGTTAATTCGCTTAATTGCCTGCTCAGGCTTTTGGATAGACAAGAAACTCTTTGACTCATGAATGCTAAGAAAAAAATGTTTATAATTTTATTAAAAATAATAATAATATTATATACATGGATAGCTAGGCAAGTATATTACATAGAAAATCTGCAGCAAAAACAAGAGCAAAAGATCTAGTGAAGGGGAATGTATAGTGCATGTATGTATATATAAACAACAATAAAACTTAGCAAGTGGTAACTTAAACAAGGAGCAAATTAAAACTTACAGACATTCAATCCTGGCTTTCATAATGTCTGAATAACAGTAGGATTCTGCTAAACTACTCTCAACACATTCAGACATGGTTACCATGTATTGCCTTGTAACTATAGTAACTACTACTTACTCACGTGACTCTGCCACGCCCCACAGCATGCTACTTTTTAATAGGTTGATTAGGTTGCTACATTGTATGTACGTGTAGATGCAGTATACTGGATGTGCAATGTCTGAGTGTCCTTTAAGATTTAGTATTGTTGCGAACTGTTCTGTTTCAAAAGCTAGAGCTGCTACAATGTCGCTCCCCCATGCTGTCGTTGATACGCCTGTATTCATGCCTGTTGGTACTCAAGGAACGATGAAAGGTGTTACACCTGAACAATTGAAGGATCCCCTGCTAGATTGTCGATTGATTCTTGGAAATACTTATCACCTTGCTAACAAACCAGTGAGTTTTGAAGTGCATCTACATGTAGAATTATATGTACGTCAGCTGAAGATGTTTTGGGCTTGTTAGCGTTTGTTAGGGGGACATAATTAGGAATAGAATTTACAGCATGTGATATCCTAGGGTGTAATGGCTGGAAACTTAAAAGGAAGGTAGTCACTTGTAGCTTAGGTCTTTTGTAGCTGGGTTGAGAAAACAAATGATATGACTTTTGAGCATTATCTACATCTTTGATATTGGATGTTATAAAAGGACAGTCTACACGAAGGTGCTACTCTTCTCTGGACACCGGAAGTGAAGGAAGTCATAGTTTCCCTCAGGCTGTAATGGATAGTCATGCTATTTTACTTATTTCTCTTCCATAGATGCGTGAACAGTGCTGTAACTAGTGCCATTAAGAGAGAAGTTGCTTGTCATAAAGAAGCAATTTTGGTTTTTATGTGCAAAGTTTAAGCAGAGATACAGTACAAGCCAATAAAAACTTCGCGTTCCATTTACGTTGAGCGGCCGTTGGGCATTTCAACGCTATAAAGAAAACGTTTACTTTGGTTTATGGTCTGTTTTTCTATGGAGCACGTTGGCTCAACGTTTTGTCCTTGCCTCTTTGGTTTTCTTTACTCCACAGATGGTACTATGCTCGTTCTTGACTGCTGCTCTGGAGATACTACTGTCATATTAGTTCAGTGTGGACCTCAACTCAAGGAGACGCTGTGTGAAGTCGAGGTGTGAAGTACTCATGTCGTTGGAGGACGGGCTACCACGCTCAGTATAGTCCAATTTACTTCAATTTATTGTGTGATAACATTAGTTATCAGTATCATTATTATATTTCTATCATTATTGTACTCTTACGTTCTAAAACTTGTGTTATATACATGTATATTATAATTTTTTTATTTATGAAAGATGCAAGTGTCATGCATTTTGATCTTGGTACTAGCAGGTCTATAATTACATGATATAATAATATAATAGCTGCTTCTTTGCTTGGCAGAGCACTCTTTCTTGTGACTACTTCTTGTCGTCCTATTGAATTATACAACATGAGAATAAGGTAGGTGAATTATATAAAATGCATGTCGCTACGTTTATGACTTACCTGTCTTGTTTTATCATCAACCATGGCTCATAGTCGTTCTGTAAGTGTATCTAGGAAAACCTTACTCCTAAAGAAACTGTCAGAAAGAGAAAAGTCGAGCAACGCTTGGAGTGTTGTTCATGATAACAAAAACGGTAGTGCCCAGACCCAATGGACCATGAACGGAACAACCACAATAAAAAACGGAAATGGCGCTACCATTTAATCGCCGTTCATCGTAAACAGAATGCGAAGTTTTTATTGTCTTCTAGTGTATGTCACCGTGGAAATTTTTCATTTATTGAAAATTGTTTGGCTTTGATTTTTTGTACAAATCATTCACAGAATACCTGGAACCTTTACAGTCTTTCCACAGACTTATGAAGACCTGGTCTACACGTCCTGCTTGTTTCTATCTTAATGGAGCAGATATAGCTATAGAAAATAATGCTGTAAAGTTAGGCATAATTAGGCCACCTAGAATCTTTGTTTGCAAGAGCTGTTCTTATTTTGCCGCACACGTAGATAACCAACTCCTCTTTTTGATATTACCAAGAATGAGCTTCGTCTGTGCTTCTGTTTAGGAGATACACAACTGTTTACACACCCACCATTTTCACTTTTTAGCCATGGAGCAACTTAGATATTTGTACAAATCATTTGCAGGGGTGCTGGGCCTTTGCCAAAGGGTCTGGTTCTGTACTTACCTTTGCTTAATACATTGTGAGACTCCTCACTTGCTGGGTCTAATTTTATTTCAGTAAATTTCTCCTCAAAATTACAATGTTTTCCAGAAAATGCCTAATTATCAACTTATCAGCTACACGTGGTTCAAATTTTGAATGATTTTAATTATATTCATAAGTCATTAGCAATGAATATCATTTTAATAGTGATGTAACAGGAAATGAAGCCATAAAGGATCTCTTCACAATTGTGTAGCGCCTTCGTGTAGACTGAGAGATTGGAAGTGGTTCACATGATCCCATAGCTACCTGCAAAGCAATGAATAGTGAATGTAAATTTATGGCAATTTGTGTCCAAAGAATTTAATCAATGATGTTTCTATTACCTCGAGAGACAACCAAAAGATTTTCCTGGTTTAGTTGAATGATAGTTTATTACTGATGAAGCTCTTGATGTTAATAATGTTGTATACTGTGTGTACTACGTGTATGTACATGTATGACTATTCATTAAAATAGATAATTACACTTTGAACTCATTATAAATTGACTATTTCTGTGACAACTTGCAAAAACAGTTTGTACCAAAATGTATAGCTCACCATCAAATGATAACAATGAAGCACTATTGCATAATAGGCAGCTGTAAATGCGCATACAGTACATGTACCAACTTATTTTATACTCCTGTGGTAACAATGGAAGCTTCAAAATATGTGACCATAATTGACATAAGGGCCCTTATGGCGGATTTTAAAATTGATCGTTATAATGGAAAATATCAACCTGTGAGTGCTTTGTTAGACAATCATTGTTTCTAAAAGTTTCATAATAACTTTTTGCATCCTGTGGAGTAATTTTATGATAAATGGGGCTCAGGAAGTTGGATTTCTTAGGCTAGAAAGACAAATTTCACTACCCGCCATAAGGTCCCTTTTGTCAATTATGGTCACATATTTGTCGCCTTCTTTTGTACCACTATTAGAGGATCCTACTGTAATGATTACTGCTGTAGTGATTACTAAAGTGCTACTTTGGTGTACTAGTTTTATTTTTATGTGTACGTTGTTCTTTATAGATCACGGGACAAAATAAAATTTTATATGATACAAATGTGGCGGTGCATGTAATTACGCTTCTGGTGCTGCACCACTGAAAATGACCTAGCTTGAATCTTGATAGTATTCCCCTGTTGAAAGTTACTGTATTTCCTCCAAAGAAGCCGCCCTTCGAATAGTAGCCGCATCCAAATAGTAGCCCCCTCTGTGCTGGCAGCAATTGTAATAGTAGTTGCCCTCTAATAGAAGCCACAGTTAATTAAAATTTAATTAATGTTCCATGTGCGCTTGGTCGAGTGCATCTTGTCGTTCTCCGGCAAGACCTATAGTTTCTTTCCTATTAGCAGGTTCATTATTTCCTTGTGGACATGGTGGCTTCTGATAACAGTCTCAATTTCCATGTCTTGCAACATTTAGCTCATGTTTGCTTAATTTCTACACAGTTTTATGCACACATGGTGAGTGATGGGTGTGGTCAGGTGAAGGAGTGACCGACCACGTGTTTGCTATGAGAGAAATAGTAGCCGCCCTCGAATAGTGACCACCCTTGAATAGTAGCCCCGTTAACTTGAGTCGTAATTTGTAGTAGCTGTGGCTAGTAATTGAGAAAGTACGGTAATTCTGATGGAAGACCAACACATGTGTAAAACCACTTTAAGAGACCTGGAAGTTCCATTATTGTTATGATTATGATATTAGTATTATTGCTATCATTGTTACTATTATCTTTTATTATTGTCTTAGGGATGTGATGTTCTGAAAAAGTTTGATGGACTTCATAATTTCATGAGATGGGATAGAGCCTTACTGACTGTAAGCATGTCTGTCTGTCTTTGATGTTGTAATTGTGAGCTATCACACTTTGTAATTGATGTTTTTGTGTTATTGTTAAAGATAGTGTAGCTTCTGATGTGAGCTTGTACTAGTGTTATGTACTTTAACTAAATATTGGTATAATTATGACTGAAGTTATGTAACCTGTTACACAATCAAAAAGTAGGTTTTAACCTGATTTATAACTAACCACACCTATCTTTTACAAAATAGCAGGCTCTGTAGGCTGTAGGTAGGAAATGGCTCTTACTGCCAATTTAGTCAAAATCAAAAATTCTTCAGTAAACAGTAGAATGTGTATTTTACTTTCAAAAAATTGTTTAGATGACAGTGGTACCTTTTAAGTACATGAAAAGTAAGAAAACAAGATTACTTAGGATTCTAGAGCAGATGTGTATAAAGTAACGGAAACAAGGACAAGTAGACTAAAGTTTAGTGTTTTGAGATTAACAATCACAGAGTGTTTATTGTTTATGTACACGTACATTGTTTGTTATCTGCACTGGTCTCAGCTGTAGGTAACTTCATGCGATCACATGTATCACAAGTGTCAGACCTAGGGTATTCAAAGTGAACGTTCAAAAATTTCATGTTAATAATGTTTAGAAACAATAGTTTTCATTGCCGATGAATCCGTAGTATCATCATTCACCAGCCTCTTTTTCTTTCAGATACTCTAAATACTCTTGGCTGTGCTTTGTAAGAAATAATTGATACTTTCTCTCTGTAGACAAATCTGCAGATAGGTACTTTGGATTGGAGTTTTTGTGATGAAAATTATGGCTCTGTCTAGCAGGAAATTATATGATGTGATCTTGAACTTTCTGATAAAGTTCTGATAATTTTTGAGGGTAATTTTCATGCTCCCACAATGGTCTGGTTCTGGTGACAATGACCCAGCAGAAATGTTCCTTCGGAGTCTTTTTTATCAAAACCGTGAATCAGAAAAAAAGCCTTTTGACACATTTTCACATTAATCCCCTTTTCATTCTTAACATTGTACTCAACACATCTGCTGGGGTCAACCTATCTTTTTTCCATTGTTGCTGGTGCTAGGGTTTTGCTTTTTTGTGGCCTGATGATTTTTTTGAAAATTTTTGAATAATAAGTCCCATCAAATAAACGTTCTGCTTATCATATAAATCCTCACCCTCTTTATTCCTGTCTTATTACTTCTAACTTCTTCCAATGCTCCAACATTTTCTTTAGAAGCCAGTTCAACTATAGATACAAGAGGTACTTCTAATGATGCTTCCAAAAACTTTGCCATTTAATTATACACAGCCACACAATATTATTGAAGGTGTGGCTGGTTATAAATTGGTGGTATCTCGTGAGAGTGAGTTATTGAAATTTCTACTTCAAGATTGACTTCGAAACTTTACTACATGCATGTAGAAGCTTAATGATAGAAGCAGTAATCAAAGTGAAAAAGTGAGATCATGAAATACGTTTTTACACCCTTTTTCACCGAGCATTCAATTAGAGGGTTATTTTTACACTGTTAGGCTAGTTTTGTCTAAAATTGATACTTGTGAAAAAGCAACAGAGGTTACGAAGTCAGTCTTAGTTCTGCAGGCAATACGTGGAATTACACAGGTGTGGAATTTAGTAAAGCATATGATACCGTCAAGAAATGCTTTTGCAAAGGATGGATACTAAATCAGGACTTCACTGTTTTAAGACGCCAAGGTACATGTAAATAGATACATTTGAAGGGATAGTTTTAGCACTTGATACTGTTAATACTGAGATAGAGAGTATTATTTCTCGTATGCAACCTGTTAGGTGCCCAGTAACTGAGTATGTGACAGCTACATGTACAGGTGATAATGTTATTCCTATCTGTGAAGTATTTGACAATTAGCACTGGGAGGAGGAGTTCCTGTCATCACTTAGTGCATCCAGGGACCAGTGACAATTGATTCTGAGAATGAAGGTGATGACTATGATGTTGATGAATTACCTGTTTCTAAAGAGAGAAATACATGTTTGACTGTGGCTATCTTAAAGCTTGTTGATGGGAACAGGTTTCTTGAAACACTACCACCATCTCTGAGCCTAGCATATACACTCTGGTTTATTTATGATAGTGTCCAATGGTTTGAGTTGGTCGATGCAATTAGGAGGCACTTTTGCGATTCAGATGCTATAAAAATTGAGTAGCTTCAAAATATGTTCTGTACATTGACCTTTAAAATGATCAAATATCACTAAAGCTGGATTAGTTGCAATGACAAGTCAACTCGCTTCTTTAAAATGTATGAAACCAGGATTAAATTTATATAATCTTCTGTT